CTTCAAACAAGACCCTGTCCTTGAGGTCCAGGGCCCAGAGCCCGGCGTAGAGCAGACCCACCAATGGCGTTAGTCCCCCTGGCCGTCAGTTCCCTATGCTGTCAGATGGAGCCACCCCTGAGTCTGCATGTTCCTAGGGGTGGCTATGAGGTGGGCCCTGAGAAATAATTTTGACTGTGCTCTCCAATGTGAGGTATCATGATTACTGGGCTGGAAGTTTCTGGAAACTTGTTAAGGCTGGATAATATTCCCTTGTATGTAAGTAGCACATTTCGTTTATCCATTCCTCCATTAGTAGATACTAGAGTTGCTTCCACATTTTGGCTATCGTGAATAATGCTGCTATAAACAGTGTACAAATAGCTGTTGGGGTCCCTGCTTTTGCTTCTTTTGAGTGTAAACCTAGAAGTGGAATTGCTTGATCAAATGGTAATTCTTTGTGTAGTTGTTTGTTGTTTTTTGTTTTTGGGAACCAGCATACCGTTCACCACAATGGCTGCTGCATTTTACATTCCTGTCAGCAATGCACAAGGGTTCCAGTTCCTCCACGTCTTCTCCAACACTTGCTATTTTCTGTTTCTTTTTTAAAAATAATACCCATACTAATGAGTGTGAAGTGGTGCAATGTGTATCTTTTTAAGACATCTTTCAAAATGTGGCGCCTGGGTGGCTCAGTCGTTAAGCGTCTGCCTTCGGCTCAGGTCATGATCCCAGGGTCCTGGGATCGAGCGCCGCATCAGGCTCCCTGCTCCGCGGGAAGCCTGCTTCTCCCTCTCCCACTTCCGCTTGTGTTCCTTCTCTCGCTGTGTCTCTCTCTGTCAGATAAATAAAATCTTAAAAAAAAAAAATGTTCACAGTTGTTTTGTGTGTATAGAATTTTCTGCATAAGTAGCATTATGTTACTTATCCTCTGTGTTACTATTTGCACTTGGAACTGTTTTTAGGATCCATCCATTTGCTTTGTGTACACAGAACTCGATGCTTCTAATTTGTGCAGAGTACTCTGTGGTAAGCACCAGCCATATCCATACTGTGTGTGGAGTGTCCTGTGTGTTTGTAGCAAGCTCTTAACATGGGTTATTGGATTCCTTACAGCAACCCTCAGAGGTAGGTGTATTATTTCCATTTTATGGAAGAGGAAACTGACATACAGAGAGGTAAGAGACTTGCCCAAAGTCACAGAGCTGAAAGCTGAACCAGCTGGAAATTGAACCCAGCTCTGTCTGGTGCCATGGGTGGGCTCCCATGTGTAAGGTGCTGCACAGAGCCACAGCCCGAGGCGCCCTCTCAGGGGAGGCCACTACAATGAGAATTCTAGTCCTGCCTCGACTCTGACTTAGATCCCTACTGCCAATCACCTCCTTTCACCAGATGTCACTTTATGTCTGTGTAACATGAAGACGGGACAATTTTAAAGCTCTTTCTAGGTTTGCCACTTGTTGATTAAACACCCTTTAGCTAATGGAAAAAAATAATAAGAATTGAAGTCATGTGTTTGTTTCTCTCCAGTGTTCTACCTGGGAGCCACTCCAAATACATGAGAACCCTTTGGCAAGTCCATTTGTGAGGCAATTCCTGATAGGACTAGCTATTCCCTGGGAAACAGAATCGCTGCCTCCGGCCCCATCCCACCTCTCTTGAACTTTGCACTTACGGTGATGAAAAATTAACTGGGCCCATGTTTCCCTTCCAAGGACAACCTCTGCAAAAGCTGGCCTGGCTGGGCCCCAGGAGACCAGGCACCAGAACAGAGTTCCTATCCATCTGGAGCCGCCCACCCATTCACCACCCAGAGTCACAGGAGCACTCAGGGTCCTCCTGGCCCCGGAGGGAGGAATCCATTCCTCAGCCCTCCTCACCGCTTGGTTGAAACTGGGCTTAGCCCCTCGACTCTTCTTGTGGAGAGACTAAGCCCAGAGGAGAAAGGACTAGGCCAGAAACGGCCTTTGCTGGACTCACACGAGGGTCAGGCCCTGTTTTTCTGCATGCACAGCTGTCCCTGTCACATGGATGACGGCATGCGAAGGAAGTGCAAGAAAGCGTCGTTCAGCTACACTAACTAGCTGCTGACTAGTTATTTCCTCCCCTCGGGAAAATGGGAGGGGTGAAAAGGAGCTCTTCCCATGCCCTGATTTTAGAGGGTTAGAGACACACCAGGCCCTTCCACTCCGTTTAATTTTTGGATCTCTTTGGCTCCTGACCTCCGTGGAGCACATCCCCTACCTCTACGAGACGTGGCTTCTGCCTGTGTGAAATGAGATGCTCGCATCGCAGGAGGGCACTTTTCATGCTCTTTCTAGATTTACTACTCTGCACAATAACAACTGTTTGCTCCGTTCTTACAGCTGAGAGGAGATGCTCAGTGAGGTGAAGGGAGCCAGGACGGAAAGTCAGGTCAAGTCACTGATGGAGCTTGAGGTCCTCTTACTTCATCCGACTGCCTCACAACAGTCCCAACTGCATGATTTGATATTCAGGTAAAAATTAATATTTTACAAGGGGGCGTGATACCTGCAGGGGCCCTTTCTCCCAGGCACACGCCTCCCATGCCTTGGTGCTTCTCTAGGCTGTGAGCTCCCTGAGGGGCCTTCATCTTCCTTTGCAGCCTTCCCAGAAATGAAGAGGGCTGCAACACAGAGGTATCCCACAGATGCATGTCTAACAGAACTGTTCTCGCTTAACCGCACACCACTCTTGGTGGCATCAGCCCCTGGGGCCCTAAGGTGTGGTTCTATCCCTTCAGAGCACTTGACTGCAAAGTTTTTCCCAGGAGATTCCCACAACTACCGCATGAGGTTGAGAGGAAAGCTATTTCTGGCCCTATTTAACAGGCGAGCAAACATTCCTTGTGCTGCCACAATAGTGCACCTGCCTCAAGAACTTTTGTTTTGCAAAGAGCTCTATCAGTGATGTCACCTTTGCCCGCCAGGACTCTGGAAGGCAGCGAGCTGAATGCACAGGCAAAAATGTGGACTTCAGCCTCACAGAGCCCTGGGTTCAAATTCCAACACCCCCGCCCCCCTTGGAATCCTGAGTAAGTATTGTAACGGCTAGGTGCCTCGGGTGCCTCACCTTTAAATGGGAGGCACAGGGACATCTACCTCAGGGGCCATTCTGAGGATTAAAGCAGAGGGCAGCATTTGGGTTACCGGGCATGAAGAAAGCCATCAATCCATGTTGAATGCTGTTTCCTTTTCTTCCTTCCTTCCTTCTTTTGATGAGGGCTGGGAAGAAGGGAGTGAAACGTCACACTACAGGGGCTGCAGGTGACCGGAGGTCTAGCCAGGAAAGGGAAAGCCCCACTTGGGGTTCAGGGGTTCTCAGGGCCAAGCGGCAGGGTGAATTAGGAGGGGAGTGTGGAGAGCGCAGCCCTCCACCGAAGCCGCTGACAGGCTGTGGGAGGCCATTCTCTCCTAGGCAGGGACGCCTGCAGCTACTGGGCTGATTTTGTGGATTGGGCCACACCTCACAGAGCTTTGTAACTCCCCACCCGCTAGCGGATAACGTCTTTCTCACCAGGGGGGTTTCCTGCTGTTAAAAACAAACAAAGGCTATAGACACCCGGCTAGAGGCCTGGCAGGGGAGGGGCAGCAGGAGAAACGACCTGAGGGTCTGGAGTGACTCCTGACAGCCGCTGCGGGGTTTGTGCGTAGAAGCCCCTAATTCTGCCGGTGGGGAGACAATCCCCAGGTACGCCAAGATCCTGGGGTTTCTTTGCTTCCCACCAAGCCTGTTTGAATATAGAAACCTCCCGAGTACTCCCCCTCTGCCCCACGTTTTGCGAGTTCACAGCTTTGGAAACAAAGCTCTCTCCTAGTTTTGGGGGTGTCGAATTTCGGATTTTTTTGTATCATAAGATTGCAAACACTCAGTAATGTAATTTCCCCTCCCCCAAGATAAATTCTAAAGCGCCCCCATTCATTCCTTCAAGAACGCAACAGATGTCTTTGACGCCCATTTTCTGCCAGGGACTTGATTCACAAGGCCCAAGGGACCCCTGGCTCCGGCTATTATCCAGGGAGCCTCTGGGATCTCCAAATCCCCTCTTCTGAGAGCCTCCCCCGTCATCCCAACTCTCTCCTTCTCACACAGGCTCGGGGCTCTCAGCCGGTGTGATCTCACCGATGAGAGAATAAAAAAACAATAAACAAAAAAATCAACAACAACCCCCCCCCCAGCTCCCGGGGCTCCGGCGCCGCCAAGGCCCCTGCCCGGGAACAGCCCGCGCGCATCCAAGAGCGCGCCCCGACTTCCTGGGCCTCAGCCTTCCGTGCGCCCTTTCTGGGACCCGGGTGCCCCCCAGGGGTGCACCGCCAGCCTCTGGCCGGACGGCGCTCGCTCGCTGCCAGTCTGGCCCTCTCCAGCCCGCCACTGCAACCGAGCTTCCTGAGTGTGGGTGCCGAGAGTGGACGCCACGGAGGGAGCCCGACCCTCCCCTCTCGCCGCTCGGTTCCCACGACTTCCTCCCGGCGTCCGCCGGCCTCGAGGTCCGGGCCGCGCGGGGTCCTGCGCGCACCAGCCAGGGCCGCCGCCGGCCCGGGTCGCTCACGTGGGCGTGCTCTAGACCGGGCGGGGGAAGGCCGGGCGCCCTCCCGGAGGCCGGGGGTGGGCAAGGCGCCCGGGGGCGGAGGCGGCGGGGCGCGGGGGAGGAGGCGGGGAGCCCCGGCGGCGAGGGGGCGGTGACAGCGCTTGGAAAAGAGGCTGCACGCGGATTTGCATGAAACACAGACTGGGAGCGGGCGGGAGCGGGAGAGGGAGCGGGAGAGGGAGCGGGAGCTGGAGCGCGGCGCACGCCCCGGGCCGGCCCAGCGAGCAAGCGAGCCGGGAAGGAGGAGGGAAGCGGGGCGGCGAGGCTGCCGAGGCGGAGGGATCTGCACATCAAAGCGAGCGAGGCGAGCAAAGTTTGGCTGGGGGTTGGACTTTCCTTCCTGGAGGCGGCACCCAAACAGCTACCCCGTGCGGAAACCCAAACTTTCTTCTGCCACTCTGAGTCTCGCGGCCGCCGCCTCCGCCCCGCGTTCGGGGCCTTCCTGACCCGGCGCCGCTGTCGTCCGCCCGCCCGCCTCCCCCAACCTCCTCGCCGCCCTCCTTCCCGCCGCGGGAGCCGCTCGGGGCGCAGGGCCGCGCGCCGAGCCCCGCTGGCTGCAGCGCCGCGGCCCGGCCCAGAGCACGGGCAAGTTCGCCAGGAGTTGAGGCGAAGTTTGGGCGGCCGAGCTCCCCTCTGCGCCCCCGGCGCCCCGCCGCGCCCAGCCCCGCCGGGGGCGCCTCTCTCCGCTCGCGCGCCCTCCCCAGCCATGTCGTCCATCCTGCCCTTCACCCCCCCGATCGTGAAGCGCCTGCTGGGCTGGAAGAAGGGCGAACAGAACGGGCAGGAGGAGAAGTGGTGCGAGAAGGCGGTCAAGAGTTTGGTCAAGAAGCTCAAGAAGACGGGGCAGCTGGACGAACTGGAGAAGGCCATCACCACGCAGAACGTCAACACCAAGTGCATCACCATCCCCAGGTGGGGGGCCCTAGCGACTCGGGGGGCACGCCCGCCCAGCCCCCTGGCGCGGCGGGGCCGGCCGGGTGGGGTTGGAGCGAGAGGGCTTGTGTGTGTGTGTGTGTGTGTGTGTGTAAGGGGGGGCAGTGGGAGCGCGGTCCGGAAGGGGCTTGGGGGACCCCAAACAAAACCTTCTCTGGATTTGCAAAGATTCAGAGCCTGGGGCTTGCACGGGGCACTCTCACTTCCAGACCTCACGTTCGTTTTTCAGCTCCGGGAAAGGGGGGTGCTGCTGGAATTGGCCGCCCCCACTCCGGGGAGCTGCGGGCTGGAAGTTGAGGCCCGCTTTGTTCAGCTCCGCGGGCCGGAGCCCCTCCTCCGCCGTCGCCTCCCGCCCCGGCGGCCCGCGCTCGTGGAGGTGGTGGTGTCCCTCCCTTTCTTCCCTTCAGTCCTGTCCCCCCACTTCTTTCCTCCGCAACAGGAATGCAGTCCGTACAGCTGGGGCTGTGGGTGAGGAGCGGGAACCTCGTGATTGACAGATTCCTTCTTCGCTCTCTCTTTGCCTTCGGGATTAGCATTTTTACCGAGTATTTTTAGACTCGGTTGTGCCAGTCTCCCGCCCCCTCGGCACACACGCACTTTAGTTGCAGAGCAGTGCTTTCAAATGAGAGACAAGTGGCAGAGGTTAGGGTCTTGTCTTCTCCCCTTCCCCCCACGATTTTTTGCCTGGCTTTCAGCCTGAGATTGCGGGCCGCTGTAGGAGAGAGCGAGCTTGGAGCTGATCAGATAACAAAACGCACCCCAAAGTGGGCCTCGCATTCCTGCAGAGTCCTCCTTCCCGAAGCGCTTTGCCATCTGTCTGGACCTCCTTCCTCCTCCGCTGCGGGCTAGCTGGGTCAGGCGGGAGCTCACAGATGGCTGATAGAAGGGGTCAGTGACTTCTCGCCACTCCCCAGGGCCTTCTCTTAGTTTTGCTGCCCCTGGCTGGGAATTGGGGTGTGTGTGTGTTGGCCCGGGGGCGGGGGGGGGTGGGGAAGACACCTTAGCCTCCTGTCTCTCCCTCTGGGCCCCCTTTAAAGTCTGACTCTGTACCCAGGGAGTGTGTGTGCACACAGGGGTGGGATGTCCTTGGGGATCCCAGGCTGCAGAGAAATGAGTAGAGGGTCTGCACGGCCTGAGCCCCACAGAGATTGTCGGTCTTGCTGCGGGCCAGGAGTGGACTGCATCCTTGGCCACCTGCTTGGGGCAGCTGTACGCGGCCTGCCAGCCGCGTGAGGCAGGCACAAAGCAACATCTGTCCACAGGAACCCAGAACGGGCCTCCTCTGGAAATAAATGCCACATATGGTGGGAGTGCTGACTTAAAAAACTAATATATTTTTTTTAACTGGGTGGATCCAGTCAATAAAGGGGAGGGAAGGTGGTGTGTAGTCTGGGAAGTGCACCCTGGGCGTGTGATCAGGAGCCAGAATTGACTTCAGAGGAGGTGGTATGATGTGATGGGGTCGTGAGCCTTGGATTCTGGGCCCAGCTCTGGTTCTGAATTCTTCTTTATTCCTTTGGTTGTGTTGGGGGCAGGGGTAGGGTGAATGAGTGTCATACTTCTCCCATCTGTGGAGGGGTGTGCAAAACGTGCCTTCTTACCTGTCTGGGTGCATTGAGGACAAGTGCTTTGTGCCTTGAAATGGAAAAAAAAAGAAAGAAAGGCATCAGTTATAAAATGAGCAGCTGCATCAAGTGTTTTATAGTTTACAGAGCACTTTCACATGGTTTTAATGCGATCAAGAAAGAAAGAAACTTCTGGAAAATAGATAAGGCTGTCAGACTGCAGATTTATCTCCTTTTTGAAGTTGAGAAAACTGGAGGAGGGAGGTGAAAAGGTTTGGCCTGGTGGACTTGGGACTCTACTGCTTGTGCTCCTTTTTGTACCGCGCACTGCTCTCTACTTGGAAAGTTTTGAATACATTCTTTGCTGAATACTAGAGCACAGTTAGCCTGGGGTGGGGGCAGCCGGGGGTCTTTGTTGGTAAGGTTGCTGATGTTCTGTCTTTGGGTTAGTGACTGCTTGGAGGAGAGCCCTTGCTTTCTCTTGCCTTGGTGGGGGTTTGCCCTCTAGGGAAACTTAGCTAGGGCCTGCCTTTTCCTCTTCCAAGGTCCTCCACAGCTTGAGGCATGGGAACGCTTTGGACGTTTCTGAGAGTTCAGGCTAACTTGTGCCTGGCCTTCCCATGACTCTGATAGGAATGGGGCATCTTCTACCTGCCTTGGCAAGGGCCGAATACGAAGGTAGATTTTGTTTTTAATCTTTTCTCAGGGAAACCCAGTTGCTTGGGTGGATCCAGACAAAATGGATTTCCATCCCTGGATTTTGTGCCCACGCCTCTGGGTCACCTTGTCTCCCTTGGCAACGGCTGCCACTGTTTTGGTCGTGGGCAGGAAACTAAAGGCCACGTCTTGGGGAGGTGTCTAGCTGGCCTCCATGTTAGTGATATCAGTATGTCTGCTAAGCCCCAAAGAGTGTGGTGGTGTTTGTCCAATTGTCTGCTCTCTCTACACTACCTTGTATAACGAGGGCTTTGGAAAGTTGATCAAGGGATGTTTAACCTAGTTATCCCATGGCGTGTGGGGGGGCGGGGCACTGAGTGGTTAAAACTACCCTGGGGTTTCAGGAGACCTCAGTCTGGGGAGATGTGACAAGCGCGCTTTGGCTAATACGTAATCATGATCAGCAACAGCAACCTTTGGCAAGGACGGCCGTATCCTAGGGTCTTCCAGACTGCATGCTTGCGGGTGTTACGCCGGCTCTAACCTGTCTCGGTGATCAGGAGAGCTGGAGCGGTACAGGCTTACTGATACCAAGAATGTGAAAGAGACCTGTGCCAAGGAAGTGGTAAGAGCTTGATTTAGATACACCAGCAGAGAGGCTATCAGGATACTCTGAGGTCTGGCAGCCTGGGCAGAACTTAGACACGTTGTATAACAGCATCTTACTCGTCACCTGCCTGAGTAAGTAAAGCGGCGGGCATCTTCCCGGCCAGTTGGTAAGCATGGAGTCCTAGCATTTAGCGCAGAGAGGAGGAGAAGGTGTGCGCATGCTAGGTCAGTAACCGGGGGCCAGGCACACCTAAGAATGACTGCTCTGATGGACGCTGGTAACCTGCGCTTCCAGCGACGGGCTCCATGCCTTGGCCCGGTTTTTGGGAGCTGGACCAAGCTTCCGGTCTGGTTGGTTTGGAAGGGAATTCGGGCTTTCTTGTGTCAACGTCCAGAAGAAAATGGGGAATTGAACCAGACGCCAGGTCTGACACATTCCATCTCCTCCTCCTTTGTGAATCTGTTCTTTGAACGTGGTCTCCTCCTGTTAGCCACCTGGACTTCCCCAGGCTGCTCTCACCCTCGGGAGAAAGGAAAAAGATCGTCATCTTGAAAGCTCCTTTCTCAGACGTCCGGGGGCAGACCTCTTAGGCGGGCTGCAGGAGTGGCTTCTTTTTAATATCCTCTTGACCTCCCTACCTCCTGTCCACCCACTCTCTCGCTGCCGCTCAGAGCACCATTCTGGTGTAGCCCACGGAAAGCAAGTCCACTTCTGGCTGCCGGGGAGGTGGTCCATCCACTCCTTTCTCTGGTTAACCTTGATTAAGGGAGTTTCACACAGGGAGCTGGGAAGAGGAGGGACCCCGCAGACCCCGGTAGCTGACCGGGGGCTGGCTCTGAGCTCCGGCTGAACCTAGGAGCCACTTGGTGTTCCCTTGACATTTGGAACCTTGGAACTTGCCGCTTGCACCCAGGAGTTAAATGTTGAGGCCGATGCATGTTGCAGACAGCCCTTTGCTCACAATTCCTGATCAGAGGTTACGGGGTTGGATCTTGTTGATTCATTGATAGTTCTTGTCCCCCTCCCAGGTCTGAGTTAATATTCCAGGCAATGGGAGAGGATGCAAAGGTAAATTTGAGATGGCTCCTGCCTGTGAGGAGCTTCCATTTCAGTAAGGGAAACATTGACAAGGCATTATTTGAGGGTCTAACTGCTATTTCTTTTTTATTCCCCCCCCCGCCCCATCAGAAGAAAAATGAGTTCTAGCATAGAGTGATTTGAGGGTGGGGGTGGGGACTAAAATGTATCTTTTAAATATTGTGGAAGTCACTGTTAGAAAACAAAATAATGGCAGCCATCTGGTTTCGCCAGAAAAAGCCCAGAATTCAAGTCCTGGATCTTGCCAGATATGAATCTGGATGGATTTAGGAGTTCCCTTTAATGTCTTAGAGCCTTCATGTCTGTACCTGGGAAATCAGGATGATAGAAGGCCTATGGAAATGTTTTGTAAACCAGGGAGTTTGACAGATATAAGTGTTATGTTTGTTGCCTTCTGTGTTTATCACTCATTCATAACCAAATTATTCACTCATTTGTTAAATATCTGGTACCATGAGCAAGGCAGGACACCGGTTCTCGAGGAGCTCCCTGTCCAGAGGGGGAGACGGACTTGGCCAAAGGTACAGGAAATGAGCTACAGCAGAGGGCTGGATAAAGCGCCCAGGGATATGGGGACAGACCGTTTAATTCTGCGGGAGGGGGTGGGGAGAGGAGGGAGGGGTCAATGCAAGGAGTTATTATCCAAAGGAAGTTTCTGGACTACAAACATGATCATGTGAACTTTTGGGTACATGGTGATACCAGTCTACAAGAATGAGGATGTCTTTATCTTCTTCTGTCTTTTGCTAAACTGAGTACTGTTGTAAAAATGTTACTTCATGGCCTGCATGGAAGGGCCAGTGACCTGTGTGCAGTATTTACTCTGCTTACAACGTTCTGTCCTTGAAGTAAAAAGTAATTTAGTATTGCAAACTTGAAATTCAGGTTTCCTCCGTGGGACCAGTGACTTTAGATATATTAGCTCAGAATATAACAAAGAGTGTCAGTAAAAACGGGGTAACTTGTGGATGATTGTGGATACTTAGAATTTCAGTATTTTGGTGTGACCTAGCTTTCTGGGTCTCTGGTTAACACTTGGCTTGAACTAA